TTTATGCTATCATATAGTAGAAACTTAATATTTTCTAAACCAGTAACTAATTTAAGAGAAATTATTTTCAAACATGAACTACATTTTTTATTCTTCTGTTTCTTTTCTCATGTAGCAAGTCAGTACTTAAATACTGTTGTTTTTAAGTCATCACAGGTATTCTTAAATTTTGTTGTGATAATTTGAATTTATACAGACACCTTCATTTATTAAATAGAAATTTAATTACTTTATGCACTGAAAATGCAATAAAACTGCGATAACAGTAAGAAATAGTACTTTCTTCTTTTTCCTTTCTTTTTAAAATCATTTTATTGGGGGCTGTACAACTCTTATCACAATCTATACATCCATCCATTGTGTCAAGCACATTTCCACATTTGTTGCCATCATCATAGAAATAGCACTTTCTTTGTATTCCATTTATAGAGATTAAATTAAGTCAGAGTTTTCACTTAAATTCTCCATATAATTAGACATTGTACAATCTTCGGGGTACTTATTTAAAAATATAGAGATCTTATTTTCATTTCTTTTTTACTACTTAAATCATTATCCGCTTAGATTTCAAAAATTGAAATAACAAAATTCATTGCTATCACATTGGACCATTTAGCATATAAGATCAAAAGTAGTGCAAAATTGAAAGTACCTAATTTATAAATATTGCATTTATTATTATTATCTGCCTGTTAGAAAGAGCTGTAACTGTCCACGTATGATAAATACAAATACTAATTTTCATATTAATAGGATAAAATGAGCTAATAGGTGTGTATGTATTTTCATTCTGTGATATAAATACCATAAAATGAAGTTACTGAAAAAAAGAAAAAAGAAAGAAATCAAAGTTCACCAATGGTTACTGTGGGCGAAGGAGGAAGAGCCCTTGTCCAGGCACTGAGTTTATGTTAGTGGCGGTGGGATAATTTGGAAAGGAGATCAATAATAGTACAACATGAAGAGTATAATCAGTGGCACTGAATTATACATGGAGAAGTGGTTGAATTAGAGAGTGTTTTGTTGCGTATATTTTAGCCACAATTAAAAAAATAAGTACACTAATACGAGTACAAGGAAGAGGAAAATGTTCTAAAGTTGATAGTCGTAATAATGATTGTACAACTCTTTTTGGTATGATTTAACTAGTGAATTTTATGATATGTTGAAGAAGTGCCAACAGAACCGTTTAAAAAATTTTTTTAAGAAGCTGAAAAAAATACTGTATTTCTGAAAAAAAGTTATTGTATTTCAGGATTACAGAAATTACACACACATAAAATCCTTAAACTGATGTTATTATTATGTAAAATATGTTTACTTTTGTGTTTGATACTACACTCAATTAACATGAGAAAATCCAAACTATGAGCTTCAAATTCCCAACTATAAATTTCAAAAAATTATCGTTTTATGACAGATTAATCATAGCACCATTTAAGTAACAAGCCAGCTAATAAAAATTATCCAGAACATGATTATTATATAGCTAATTAAATTAATTAAGCAGTTCTTAATTAAGAATCAATCTTAATTTATATTTGTTAAAAGTAATTAATACTGATCAATTAAAATGGAATTCATTAGTAATTAGTGCTTTTTAAAGTGTACTAAATGCTCTAAAACTAGATTCCGAGAATACCCCCTTGCCTTGAGTTATTCACCATCTTCATATTAAAAGAAATATAATATACTTAAAAGAATTAGTAATATAATAAACTTATTTTTGTCCCTCCCCCACTATCTACCTACCTACCTACTAACAATAAACTTATTTTTTATTTATATAAGCTTTAAAATCAAAAGCAGCAATTCCACCTTTTAATTTTACTTCCAAACATATATATTGACATAAATTATAAAATCATTCAATGTTCTCCAAGAATTAAGTACAAAGATTAAAAAGTTAGAAAAACACACTAAATAAAGTCACTTCAGTATAAATACTAAAATATGAGAAAAGGGGAAAAAACAAGCAAATATGCTATTAGTCAAACTGATTCCTCTTAATGATTACCAAATTTATATAGCCTACCTCCCCTTTTCAGAAAATTATCACTGAGTACTTTTGTACTATGGCCCATAATACAGAATAAAGCGTAGGTTATCTGCTTTTGCAGCACCTCCCACCCCTCTATTCTCCCACCCTGCATTGCCCACCCCCTGTCTTTCCAGCGTCCCCAGGGGGCAGTATTGTCCACTTTGGGAAACACTTCTTTAACACTTCGGCTGAAAACAATCCAACTGAACTTTCAAAACCACCCAATTTAGTTAATAAAAAGATGCACTTGGGAAAGGAAAAAAAGAGGAGCTGATTCCAAGGGCTCACGTAGAAAGTGTTTTGGAAAGGATGATGGCAACATATGTACAAATGTGCTTGATACAATTGATGTATGGACTGTTATAAGAGCTGTAAGAGCTCCCAATAAAAGGATTTATTAAAATAATAAAAAGATGCACTGTCTGGTCAAAACTAAAATGACAGGGCCAAGCAGATCACAGGACTGGTGAAAATACAATTCTAGAACTTGGGTTATTAATCAGCAGCAACAATCAATTCCGACTCATAGCGTCACACAGAGTAGAACTGCCCCTATAGGTTTGTGAGACTGAAACATTTTACAGGAGTAGAAAGCCGCATCTTTCTCTCGAGGAGCATCTGGTGGGTTTGAACTGCTGTCCTTGAACTTAGCAGCCCAACTTGTAACCTACTACACTAGAAAGACACCTCATTTAGAATATAAGCACGGGGAATTTGAGGTCTCTATATTTAAGAATAATACCAAAACATCTCTTTCCCACAAGGAGCTGACGTTGACTAGAAAGCCCAGAACGAGTTCTCCAAGTAGGGAGCAAACCCATGAAATGGAAAACAGAAAGGTGTGTACTACATCAGAACATGACATCTTAAAGAACAAAATACCACCCTCGGAAGGAAAGCCAAGATTACCTGAAAAGGGGAGAAGGTAGTCTACTTCTGGAGGCCCATTAGAGGGGCCTCGAAGGAGGAGTGTTTGGGAGTCATGTGGATGAAAGGAGTTCACACTGTGTAGAAGAATGGCATACAGAACTAAACTGACTTCTGTATCTGCTCCTTGTGCCTGGCTTGCTTTTTAGTTTGCTCTCCTATCTCCTCATCTGTGACTTCATTGTTACCATAGCCAGGCTTTCCCTAGTGTTAGAGTTGTGAAGGATGAATAAGGGAATAAGATAAGGGAGGTTAATGCGCATGTAGCCCTAAGACAAAGTGCCAATTTATGTCAAGTAGTGGCCAAACTTGAACCAGAAAATCTGTAAGAATCCAATAGATACAATATTCTCAAGTATTCTTTTATCTTGCTGGGAGATTTCTTTTCCTACAAATTATTTCTGGGAAATGGCGGAAGCCATTTTTACTGCAAGGCATATACGCTCATTCTGTCAAACGCGTGCACGGGGGTACAGAGACATACCCTCTCCATCACACGCATCCACATGCACAGCTCCAAGTAAACTTCGAGATTCGTGTTTTTAACTGTAGGACCTACATTTATTCCCCTAATTCCCAATATGTCCACCTAAATAACAGGAGGGGAAAATGGAAAATGAGTTAAAATTCATTCTGGAATGTTCTGACAAAATTCCTATAAGGTCTATTTTGGGGGAACTGAGTAGGAATAAATATGGCTATAATGATCTATATAAACAGTATTGCCTCCATGGCTATTTTCACCAATTAATGCTAGGACAGAAAAACCAATCTCTAACTAATGCTTTTCTATCTATAAACTAGCCCCACGGAGTAGCATACATTTTCATTAAAGAAATTGAAGTGTGCTTTAAATAGTACTATAATTCACCTTAATGGAAAACATGATCACTTTTTTTCATGCCTCCCTAAAGGGCTTTCAAGAACTATTGGGCTTAAAAAAAGAAACAGAAAAAATCGAAATTAAGATTATCATTTGGGGGGGGGGGATTAACTTTAAAAAAGAAAAAACCCAAAGAGATCACTGATTTTTTTAACATGCTGTCATCTACATTCCTGAGTGGGAACAATGACAACTGCTCTAACCCTTCAGCTCCGAGTTCACCACAGTAACCTCATTCTCACTTTTCCATTTCCCTCTAGAGTTGGTGGAAGCTTCTGCAACCACACATTCCAGAAGGAGCTGCCGTTTTCATTGCACTCTATAGAACGTGGAAAACAAACAGACTTTGCTTTGCTCCTGAAAAATGCACGTCTGCTCAGGGCAAAGGGGATGAACACCTGCTCAGTGGTCACCTCCCGAGGCAGGTGATGGAACCCTCTTCTCACAGGTGCCACTACAATAACGTGTTGGTAAGCAGGAGTTATAAAAACAACAGGAATCTAAATAAATACTAATAAAAAGAGAAGGCTAGGAAATATGAAAGTATTGAGAAAACTACGGTGAACAAAATTAATTTTAAAATAACAAACTGAAGCAATCAAAAGAAGAATATAAAAATAAAAAACAATTGGGAAGAAAATTAACCTCAAGAAAATAGAAATGAAAAACAAATAAATAAGAAAATAGAAATGCCTGTAGCTACATCAATACTATGGTATCTTTCACCAGGAAGTCCAGAACAAAATGCTGAAAGTCCCTATCAGTTCGTTATATCTCAATATGTAGGTTACTAGCTAAGAAGACATCTGAAAAATAAGAAGTAGTTAAAATATTTCCAAATAGTTATGACCAGCAATTAAAAATATATGAATAATCTAAAAATACATTTTTCCTACTCACCTACTCTATTGGAGTAAAACTTCAAAGTCAAGATAATTTAAAAATAAATTTACATTTATATGTGTAACATAAGAAACCCATTTTCCCTTGTTGTTTCCTTATTACCCATGGGTAGTAAATTAAGAGTTAAGGGTAGTCAAACATTTCTGTGTTCCAGACCACTACTGTTTACCAGAGCTGAAACCTCCAAATGCAGAGAAAAATCTGATGGAGTCAGTGCTCCAGTCTGAAGAACTGTGTATCGCTTACCGTGTCTTTTCCACCTATGGCCTCTTATCGACATACTGGTTACTGCATTTCTCGAGATCCTAGAGGAAGTTGGTGTAATTTCAACTTGAATACACCTTGTACCCTCCTTATTAGATTTCATGGCACCATGGGGCAATGAAGCCTTTATTGCATTTGCAACCTAAATAGAAAATGAATAATCTAAGATTAATATTAATGGTAGATTTTTATACCCTAAGATAAAACACAGTAATAAAGTTGTAACATTTACAAAAAGAAGACTCTTTCCAAGATGTTTCTTAAGATAATGCATAAACCATCTAGAAAGAATAAGGAGTAAGAGTCCGGTAGCAAACCTGGTTAAAAATACTAAATTAGACTTCAAATGCCTAATGCTGATTAATGTACAGCTAAATTATGTTATGGAGCACACTCTTAAAAGTTAAAGGCTAAATAAATAAATAAATGCCTATCGGATATCTAGAAAGTTAGTTGAATGAAATGTGGAAATTTTATTATATTTATATCTTCTTAAATGTTACATGCTTCTAGTATTATGGGAACATGATTCACTGATAACTAATGACATGTTAATATACTATGACTAGCTACTTCTTGATTCATAGTTTTCCACTGAGAAGTTTGAAGTTATAGGAGGTCTGTGAATAGATACTTACCAGCAGTGGCTCTGGATACAAGTCCAGCTGGGCTCTGTATGTAATATCATCCAATGCTTTTTGAGCTAGATCCCATTCTCCATTATAACTGTAAAATTAAATAAATAAAGCACAGTTATTTTGAATTAATTCTACATAATTGAACAAAATATAATGAGAAAATACCTTCACTAGGGGAAATAACAGAGCATATTAAAATTGCTTAGCATTTCACTCCTCTTACAAATGTCTTTAAATCTTTGCATTCCTTTCAATTGTACCTGAAAGCCTATTAATAGCAAAGAAAATTTAATAGATGTACATTTCTTTTCTAAAGAATATCTCTATTTATAGAACAGAAATAAAAAAAACCAAGACAATTTCAAAGCCTTTTATACTTTCAAAGCAAGTCAAAGCATAGCAAATTATGCATCTTAAAATAATGTTCAGAACACTTATGGTCAAACCCCTCTGCAACACCCATGCATTTTGATGAGAATCTACAACTTCCATGGCTTGCAGTGTTCTGAGTGGTTATTTCTTTGCATTCTGATAGCATATATGGATTTATGTTGTAAATATCAGGGAGGGGAAAATGTGCGTGTGTGTATACATACATACATATATGTGTGTATGTATATATGAATGGACTTCAGAAAGTTCATAGAAAAGTGAAATTAAAAAATAACAAACTTTTTCCTTTTTTCCATAAACTTTTTAAAGCCCTTTTGAATAGACACATATACAATAATTACATAATTTTCCAAGAAATGATCAAACTCTTCTTAAAACATTGGCTAAAGGACAAATGAATAGAAATACAGTGGCTTGACTATCTGTGAACAAATTTTTAAAATACCAATTACATTGACTGGAAGTGATATCTAGAAAGAGGAAAATAACATTGCTGCCATCCCTAGAAACAAAATAAAGACCGATAATCAACAGAATCAGAACTTTTTATGATCTCATCAAAGAGACGAGTTTTCCGAGCAGCCAAGGAGCCTGATACCCAGTCGAAGGGTAGACAAGAGCACCTCCAAGGGGAGACCCAATGCCATGCAAGTGCAGAGCAAGATCTCAGTCAACTGTGGGCTAGCATAAGAGTACAGAATCTCTGGGTGCAGAAAAATGGGGAGCTCGAACATCTTCTTCTCCCTAAACCTCCTTTAGGTGCTCTCAAGAAAGGCCTGGGGCAGGGTGGGAAACCACAGAATGCTTCCTTCACTGGGCGGTGCAGGCCTAATGGAGAAGAGTGATCACTGATCAGGAAAGACACGGAGACACAGCCAAACCCTCCTCCCATATGGAGCAACATTTTTAAGCCTTTGGGGAAAATGTCACAAATATTTTCACCCCCAGGGCACAAGTGAAAGATCCTATGGCTCTCAGGTAAGAAAAATAAATTAAATCTCTACCCCTGAGGGAGAACCAGGAAGTGATCCAGTAATGATACCATTTGATGTCTCCTAATCACTGAGGGAGGTTCAGGATCACTGAGAAATTCCCACTCCTGAGACTCAAGAACATAGGAACCCTGGTGGTGGTGTGGTTACCCACCGGGCCACTAACCACAAGGTCAGCAGTTCACATCCACCAGCCACTCCAAGTGAGAAAGATGCGGCTAGAAAGTTACAGACGCTGAAACCCACAGGGAGGGTTCAACTCTATTCTCCTGGGGGCACTACAAGTGGGAATAGGCTCAATGGCACTGAGTTTGAGTTTGGCATCTGAGAATGAGACTTAATCGGACGTCAGAGAATAGTCCCGCACCCATCCCTCCCAGCAGGATAGAAACCTAGGCACCAGCAACAGCAATAGTGTTGGAAGAGGGGCAAGAGCATGGAGAGCCACCCTTTCTAAGATGCAGACCGGGAAGGATGACTGTTGAAGATGGATCAGGTATTCTTTGGAAAAATGATTCAGCAATCCAGTTCTCACCTTAAGAACAAGGCTACAATAGAGGAATTTGAAGTAGGTAGCATCCGGAAGGTAACCATAGCAACAACAAAACCCAACTATGAGCAACCTTGAAGAAAATGGCATGTACCTTTCCAGGCATAAATATTTGCCCTCAATTTCTATAGTCCTGCTTATGAACAAAATCACGATCAAACAGAAATTACCCTCACTCACTGCCATCAAGTCAATGCTGACTCATAGCGACCCCCTGTGGGTTTCCAAAACTGTACTGTTTACAGGAGGAGAAAGCCCAGTCTTTCTCCCACAGAGCTGCTGGTGGTTTTGAACTGCATACCACTTGGATCACAGCCCAGCACATAACCACTACACCACAAGACATACACACAAAAATCAACCAAAAATGCTGTCTGGAGACAATACAAACAAAGTAAGAGATAACCTAGATGTTGAAGTTATTCGAAAAATGAGGATAACTATGATTAACACATTAAAGGTTCCAGTAGAAAAGAGGCACCCTGGTAGCGTAGTAGTTACATGGAGGGCTGCTAACTGCAAAGCCCAGCAGTCCAGGAGAAAGATGAGGCTCTCTACTCCCGTAAAGAGTTACAGTCTCGGGAACCCACAAGGCAGTCACGCCCTGTGCTATAGGGCCACTGTGAATCAGAGCTGACACGATGGCAATGAGAGAGTAGAAAAGGCGGACAGCGTGCATGAACAGAGGAGACTTCAGCAGAGAGAGGGGAACGATGAGAGAGAGTAAAATAAAAAGGCTAGAAATGAAACACACAACAGGATGAAGCACGTTTTCAAAGAGCTCATTAGGAGATTTGACACAGCCAAGATATGAGTCAGTAAACCTGAACATAGACCAAAAAGAAACTACTCAAACCCAAACACAGACAAAAAGGAGAGAATACAAAACAGGTCAGGACACCCGAGAGCTGTGGGAAAACACTAATGGTCCAACACAAGGGTCAGCAAACTTTTCTAAAAGGGTTAGTTAATAAATACGTTAGGCTTAGTTATTACACACAAAAATAATCATAAATAATATGTAAACTTTATTTAAAAATAGGCAGCAGAGGAATTGGTCTGCAGACCATAAAACTTTACCTTCAATTAAGAAGCTTATAGTCCATTAGTGACAAACTACAGTATCAAGTGAACATAGTGCAAAGTTTGGAAAGTTAAGTGTAATAACAGAATTACAAAGTAAAAGATAAAGTTCAAACAAAAGTACTATTGCTTAAGACATTTGGGATAATAATAATTCAGCTAAAACCTTTAATATGAACTGAGCATCCATATTAGAGATTAATAGTAAATTATTTCTGATCAAAGATGCTCTGAAATATTTATTGTGAAAAAATTTCTGGGAACTATTGTTTGGACTATTCAAAAGATAGTCATTGGGCAAAAAAGGCTATCTGGAAATTGTAAGAAAAGAGACCACAATGAAGAAAGCATGATGATTATATTCAGATTTTACACATTTTAAAAATCATTTATTGGCATATAATTTACTTATCATACAGCTTAATAGTTCAATCATACTAAGAAGAGTTGTTCAGGTTTTACAAATTTCCATTGTCTTTAAATTAAAGAAAGATGAGGAAATGTTTTACTTAGCTACAAATCCTTTAGAACTTTAATAGATACCTTTGAAATAATACAATTATTACCAAGAAACTTGATTATGCTATATATTCACACTAACAGGTAATAGCAATAAATCTACAGATTGTTATTGCCCCAAGAGATAAAAGGTTTACTTTGTACATAAGATAAACTTACAAGGCAAAATAAATCCCTGTTAACATTTGCACCATGAATTCTGATGAAACTGGTATCCTGCTACTTATACCTTTGTATTGTCTTATATGTTGTCGAGGATATCCACAAACACAGATTCTAGAAAGATCAAAATAAATATATTTGAAATTTTGTTAATACTATTGGAGAATTTATTTATTTTTAACATGTAAGACCAACAATGTAATCAGTATGTTCTCATAACAAATATGATACCTAGGAGACAGAAAGTACCATGGACAGAGTAGAAGTGCCCCTGTGTATTTCCTTGGTGGTAAATCTTTATGGGAGCAGAAAGCATGATCATCTCTCTCCCAAGGGGAGACTGGTAGGTTCAAACTGCTGACCTTGCAGCTAGCAGCCCAACGCATAAACCACTTTACCACAGAGGGTCTTTTACGGGAGTAGAGATAACTCTTGCTTTACTCTTCAGAGGCATGAGAGTATGTCTAAGGCTATCTTCCTTGCTTCTACAGTGCATTACAATCAGAAGGTTAAAAAAGAATTAGGACACATTTGCCATGGAATTTGGTTCAGATGCTCTATGATGTGTTTTCCTCCCAGATAACTGAGCACGTCATTTAGACCACAGGTTTCCCCAACTTGTTTAGCCCGCTGTCCCCTTTTCAGGGAAAAACAAATCAGCGTGCCCCTGACAATGAAAAACGTTTGTACGCTAGCCCACAACCCAGGATAAAGTGTCAATATCTGGTCTTGCAGCCCCACCTAGATCCTTCTAGTGCTCCTCAGGGCGTGGTATCACCCATTTGGGGAAACGCTCATGTGGGTAGGCTTCACAATCAACCCTAATCATCATCTATAACCCAACTGAGCAGCAATCTAAAACAACTGTCACTTCGCCAAAAGGACTGAAATTAGTAAAAACATGGTGTGATTACTTCACATCTAATTCTCCAGAAAAGCCTGCACTAGCACTAAGATAATCAAAGATAATGATTTATGAGTTACTTATCATCACAGTTCTGTAACCAATTTCCTTTCCATTGGTATGAACGAGGCTTAGCAAGGTTAGGCAAAAGTGTTTTCTAATTATTTTCTATTCATCTGAAAATCCTAATTAAAATTTTGATAAATGATTACAGGAGCCAGGTTGAAAAGAAATGAACAACTGAATTTTAAGCCATTGCAAGTACAGTAAAACAAGGAATCTTAAAAAGAAGAAAAAACATTTAATCCAAGCAACCAAAAAACAAAACCCAGAAAGACAAATTTAGTGGATTTTCTCTTTCAATATCATGTTCTATAGATAGAGGATTAACTAATAATATAGGTTTTTTTGAGTTACTTATGCCTCTTTTCCCTCATTGTCTATGTCAGAAGAAAAAACAGAATTAGTTTTTCTTCTGACATGGAATTAATCTGCTTCTGCTAAAATCTTCCTTGGTCCAAATCCTATAACTAGTTCCATAATAATCTGTTATTTCAGTCTTTAAAACCAGCTTTTACTTGGGATCTTTGTTAAAGGATTATCTAGTCTCCTAGTTAACTAAAATTGGAATGTTAGACACTTTCTATCTAGGACATAGAAGTCATTACATTAGAGGGCAGTCCACTGAAATTGCATAGGACAGAAACCAACAGCACATGCTGGTTTCTGAATTTTTCCATCAGTAGTAATATCAGGAAAATCAACAGTGATTCTCAATAGGGAATTGTGTTAGAACATCTGTGGAGCTTACAAGCAGCCCTGGTGGCACTGTGGGATAAGCACTGGCATGCTAGCCACAATATCAGCTGCTTGCTGCTCGGTAGGTAAAAGACGAAGCTATCTCTTCCCATAGAGATTCACAGTCTTAGAAACTCTATTTAGGGTTGCTGTGAGTCAGGATTGACTTTTGAGAGGCAATGCAGTTTTGCTTGGTTGTTTCTTTGAGGAGACAGGGGTATTGTGAAGCTTTAAAAAACAGATTTATTTCTGAGTTCTAAAACATTGTTTAAGAGTAGAACTTGGGCTGGGTTGTGTGTTATGCTTTACAGGTGAAAACTGCTGCATGAAGTTGCTCTATCACCAGCGTTCTTAAAACGCTGGTCCTTAGACTTGTTTTAGTCTATAATAAAGTTTTCCTTGGCTACAGTAAACTGAGAAATGAGGATGCTACACTGCTCCCATTTTGAATTTACAAATAGTTGTCCTTCCCTCCCTATTGCCCTTTCGCCTTTGTTGGTGTTTAAATAACTTCCCTTTGGTGAAATGTCGATGGGAGCTATCTATATAGTATAATGACCCACGTTTGTGGAGTCCATTATGACCTATAGTAACCAACAAGACAGAGAATTGCCCATTAGGGTGTCCAGGGCTTTAACTTCACAGCAGCTTCTCTGCAGCTTTCTCCCATGGGTTCGAACAGTCAACACCTCAGTGAGTAAAGTGCTGCTCACCCACAGAGCCCCCAGGTCTCCTCCACCTCCCGTGGCGGCATTTGTTTAAATCACTTCCTCAAACCCAAATTATGCTAGTTTCTTTAATTATGCATTTTCTCTTATATGCCAAAACCATTTTTATCTTTTGTTCCCCAATTGAATCATGGTTGACATATCCATCATACAATAGAGATCACAGAAAAAATTTTAAATAAAACAATTCCATGAGTTATTATTAACATTCTGGTTACATTTAACCATGTTCTCATTAAATATTATTTTAAATTAGAGTTTCGAAAAAACTTTTTAAACATGATATAACCAACACTATTATAATTTAAGTAATTCCTTGGATCAATTTTTTAAAGATAATTTAAAAATCAGTATCTCTTATTTCTTTGTACCATATTAGAGCACAGTTAAAACAAAACACAATGAAACAAGCGCATTCCAAAAGATCATAACAGTTCCATCCTCTTGTATAGTATGACCCTTTTTTGTTATGGAATTATTCAATTTCAATGCTATTCCTCATTACGTGCAAGTGAGTTGACTGAGCATTATATTAACTTATTTGATGTTTCAACAAATGATTAAACAAAACAAATTAGCAATCCTAAATTCAGTTATTTCCATATTAAAGACAATTTAGTTTACCTTGAACACATCTGACACAGTGATTGAAGAGAAACACTGGGCATATAGGTTAAAGCAGCATTGTAACACAGCAAAAGGAATGTCAACACTTCAAACCTAAAGACAAACCAAACAGAATAGTCACAAATCTTTAGAACTCTAAGTTGGCTAAAATTGAAGAGTCACCAAGGGGAAATATTATATTACAGCTTAGACCTCCGCAACATAATCACAATAATACAAAGCTAAAAGAAGAACTGTGAGTTCTCAAATAACCAAACCCAAACCCATGCTACTGAGTCGAGCCTGACTCCTAACAACACTTAGGGCAGAGTAGAACTGCCCCCGCAGCTTCCAAGGCTGTAAATCTTCACAGACGCAGGCTGCCATGTCTTTCTCCCACAGGGCACGGCTGGAGGGTTTGAACAGCTGACTTTTCGGTTTGCAGTCCAACGCTTTAACCACTGTGATGTCAGAGTTCCTTTCTCAAGTAAAAAGCATACAAAAACATGTTTCAGGTTACATCTGAAGCCAAATGATGTTTTTCTCTTGTATAAAATGATGCAATAGACAAATAAGATATTATATACAGTTCGTTAAGTGCTATTTATAAGCATACTGGGAAAAAAATTTTTAATCAGTGTGATTGGATACTAAGCAGTGTCTTCTACAATATACCTATTCTGGGCTGTGAGCATCTCCCTCTGAGGATGAGGGCCACTGTACACAACTCTTGACAAGCCGTGCTGGGATAGGGCACTCTCAGTCAGAGCCATGGAGCCAATGCTGGAAGGCTACAGAGAAAACATTTGAATAAAGGAAAAAATAGACACTGTTGAAAATTTGATATTTAGAATATACACACCACTAAAAATAGTTAACACAAACATCATATATCAGGTGTGTCTACCAAATTTTCTGTTCAGTTTTTTTTTAAGTAAATAGCAAACCACAGATGAGAAATAAAATATAGTTTAACTTCAAATAATTGTGCCACAGCAATATACAACTTAGAAAAACAAAAATAGAAAAGGAGAATAGTTTTATCCAATGTGAGCAGAGAGAAATACTTCCAAGACAATTTTAAATCATGACTTGCCATCAAATTTTAATTTAATGATTTTGAATTCTTATTTAACTTTGAGAACAGTAAATAATTTGTGTGGTGCTTTATACTTTTTAAATTACTAATAAAATAATGAACTTTTTGTCTCACTAGTTAGCCCCTAACTCCAAAACTTAGGATCAATAAGTTTACTTTGATAAAACATCACTTACTTCATGATACACGGATGGTTTGGATAAAGATGGAATTGTAAAACTCAATACTTTGCTATGTCCCTCTTTGTCAACTATTTCCTACAAAAGTGAAAAAAATAACTTAAAATATTTACTATACACAAGTTTGAATTGCTAACCTAAAGAAAAAAAGAAAAAAATATCTGAGTATAAATTAATTTTAAAGTTTATTAAGAACATGGTAACCCATTAGTAAACATTCAAGGACACCACTATTTAAAAGGTGTAAACATCCACTTATAAAACATCAGTAACATTTTTTTTCTGGATGGCTAAAATACAGATATACATAATGCCTTAATAACTATTGCTTTAAAAATAAAATAATAATAATAATTTATAAATTATCAAGGGTTCATGAAGGAAGAAGGGGAAAATGAGAAGCTGATACCAAGCGGTCCAGAAGAGAGTGTTTTGAGGATGGTGATGGCAACACATGTGAAAATGTGCTTGACACAATGGATGGATGGATTGTGACAAGAATTGTACGAGGCCCCAATAAAATGATTAAAAAGAAAAGAAAATGACGGCAACAAATGTAAAAATGTGCTTGACACAATGGATGGATATATGGACTTGATAAAAGTTGTACGAGACCCCAATGAGTTTTTAAATGAACTAAATAAAATAAATCCACACATCTTTTAAAAATAATTATTGCTTTTCTTCATAGAGTAATGTTTTCTAAGTCAATTAACATCATTATAAAACATTATAAAAGAACCTTAAGTTCATTCTCCATTAAAAAACATTAGTTACTTAGAATATCATGCTACTTACTACATAACCACCATTAACAATGCAAAGTATATGTTAAATCAATGGTGTAATATTGGGTGTATATTAACCCCCAACATTGGATCTTGCCTCTTAAAATGTTTGTGATCATCAGAAACCGTTACCGTATATACTGGAGTATAAGCTGACCCGAATATCAGCCAAGGCACCTAATTTTACCACAAAAACTACATTAAAAATGTACTGAAAAACTCAGCTTATACACAAGTATATATGGTAATTCCTAGATAATAGGTTTTAGATGACAAAGTTTTAAATTTGACACTGATACTTTCATATATCTCTATTAAAGAGCCAAAGGTCTCATTCTCAACCTTCATCAATCTGAAAAAGGTATATTTACACAAGTACATTGTGGTAGTTACATAATTTCGTGTTAACTTGAAGATATAAAAGCCTGTCAATCAGGTCACAGCCTGATGGTGCCTCCTTGTGGGCATGACATTCTTATAAGGAGAGTCCTGGGACCCTCCGCCTCTCCCTCTGCCTTCACCTTCCTGTTGATGAATCACATGAGACCTGTGGGAGGCCTGGAGATGAGTCCACCACCATTGAATACACAAGAAATTGCACCCACCAGCCTGTGATCTTCCTGCATTTTGCATCATTGTTTGTGGTTTCAGGAGTCAGAAGAGGGATTTATGGACTAGTATTGGACTTGGACTTATCTGGACTGGCTTGGGATGTTCTCTTGATATCTCATGACTTCTTGATATAAAGTTCTTTCTTACCCATATATGTGTCCTTGAATTTGTTTCTCTAGTCAACCCGGCCTAACACATATTTGCATGCCTTTATGTCCCTAATCTCAATAATTTATTTCTGAGAGAATGTGCTATGACTCATTTGATATATTGATAACAAATACAAGCTTTACTAAAATCAAAAATAGTCTAACTATTGGTCTCTCCATCCAGAGCAAAGAAGAGTGAAGAAGATCAAAGACACAGAAACAACGAGTACAAAGGACGAATGGCCCACACAAATTCCGCCTCAGTAACCCTCAGACCAGAAGACCTAGATAGTTCCCCGGATACCACTGCTGACTGCTCTGAAGGAACCACACTTGGAAGTCTTAGACCGTGTGGGAGAAAGATGTGGAATTTTAAAAAAAGAGAGAGAGAGAGAGAGAGAGAGACCTGGCTTCCTGGTCTAGTAGAAACTGGTGGAGCCTCCAGGACGAAGGCCCTAAGGCACCCTTTTAAAAAGCTTGACACCACTTTGTGGCTCAACTTTCAGTCAAGTGGACTTACAAGTCTGTAAGAGGAACAATAACACTCCCTACAACAGCCAATCATGTATGCTCACAAGCGCAGCATTTGCCCAGGGATAAAGCGCAGAAGGCAGGAAGGGATATGGCACAAGGTCAGATGGGAACAGGACACAGGGAGGAAGTGAAAGCGTGTGGTTACATTGTGGGGATGGCAATCTGTCACGAATCAAAATGTGCATGAAGTATTAACTGGAAACCCAATTTGCTCTGCAAACTTTCAAATCACAATAGGAAGTTTTAGAAAATTAAAAGAAAAACAGTTGTAAATATTAAAACAGTTCTGGTGAAAACAATCCTGTACACTCTTGATGCAGGGTGGGGCCACACGGGGTAGGAGGAAGAAAGAATTGTTTGGAGAGTTTCTATTTCTTACCCAAGCAAATGCATCTGCTTTTCCCTAAACGCCCCCTTTTAAACTACATTGAATACAAACCAAGTTGTAAACCCCTAGGAGGAGAGCTTCAATGCATCCACTGCTGTGCACATTTCTGCTGGCTGAGACTGCGAGGTAGCACCAAATCAATTCTGGGAGAAACTGCAGTGTAAAGCGAAGCAACCGTTTCTCTCCGCTGCGGTAGAATTCAAAGAGCTGGTGACAGACAGGCTCTAGCAACTGGGAGAAATACAAAAGGTTAATCCAAGGTGTGAACTCCACTTGATTGACATGGTTAGATGAAACGGAAAAGAGCTTACTTGATTGATAATTACCAAAACATAAATGTGTCACTTTTTTGGAAACAAAACCACTCACCGCTCAGCTAGTTAGTAACCCTTTGAACTGCAGCAAAAGGCCCAACAGGACCTAACGCTATTCAGAGAAGGCTTTTGAAATACGGGAATAATTCTATTTCTTGACTTGGGGGGTGGTACACTCGAGTTCATGTATCACTGTTCTTCAAATAGACAGTTGGTTGCTGTTGATGCTGACGACAGCAACCTCATGGGTGCGCAGCAGAACTGCTCTACAGGGCTTCCGGGCTGTGCCCTTCCAGAAATCGATCGTGAGGCCTGTCTTCCAAGGTAACTCGGCTGGGTGGACCCACCACTCTCTTGAAGAGTAGAACTTACCTCACTTTGTGGCTCCTGGATAACTTTATAGAGAGATGAAACCAAAGCGTTCTTGTCTTTCAAATTTGTGGCATAATTTGGTAAAGATGTTTCTGGTAGTGTCTAAACAAATGCAAAACAAAATATTCGATTTATATGACATATAAATCAGAATAGGCCTGTTAGTTGTTGCCAGGGGCTGGGGGAGGAGAGAATTGGCAGTGACCAAGAACAAGCATGGGGCGTTGGGAATGTGGTAGACAGAACTGGATGGTATTGATGGTTGCACAATATTGTGGAGATTCCAAAGCCCACTTAATCAGACACGTTCAGTGGTTTTTGTTGTCACTGTTGTTAGGTGCCATCAAGCCGGCTAGGCCCCATCGTGACCCATGCATGACAAAAGGAAACACTGCACGGTCTTTATGTTACATGAATTATATCTCCATAAAAACAGTGGTAAAATAAAACACGCATTTTATATTTTTATCTAAAGGAACATAAATTTACATCAACATTTCACCTTTATAACAATGTGGGGTTAGAAAGGAGAATACAAAATACCTAATTAAAACTGGAGAATTGTTTTAGTTTTATATAGGTTACAAATCTCATTAGCTGTACTGATCCCGCATCTTAAAAGTATATTATTACATTGCTGGTGGAACTGTGAAATGGTGCAACCACAGTGGGAAATGATACAGTGCTGGCTTAAACACTGGAAACACAAATACCATACGACCCAGCTATTCCACTACCTGGAATATAACCGAGAGAATATGAGCTTTGAGACAAATAGACCACCATGTCCATTGCAGCACTATTCACGATTCCAAAAAGGTGGAAATAACCCACAAAGCACTCATCAATGGAAGGAGGGATAAGCAAACTAAGGTACAAGCACCATGGAATACTACACGATGTCAAAGAATAGCAATGGATTTGCATAACGCCTCATACCATGGATGAACCTGGAGGTTATTATGATGAGTGAAATAACATAGTCACAAAAAGACAAATTTTGTCTGAGACGCCTACTGTAAAAAGTCAAGAAAAGGCTATCACTCTAAAAGAAAACAGTCTTTAAAGATTACCGGGGTGGGAATGAAAAAGAGGGTAAACAGTAGCGAGAGGGTGGACAAGTGTTAACTGAGATGAGGGAGAAGGCAACATAAAATAAGAAGGTCAGCAAAAAATAATGGAGACAGGAGAGCATGAATTAACAAAACAACAACAACAAAAAAAAACATTTCAACCCTAAAAACCACTATCATCTGGTCAGAATATCTTCTTCTGTTTTTAAATCATTCTACTGGGGACTCATACAACTCTTATCACAATCCATGCATAACATCAATTGTGTAAAGTACAATGTACAAATTGTACATTTGTACATCATTGCCCTCATCGTTCTCAAAACATTTGCTCTCCACTTAAGCCCTTGGCACCAGCTCCTCATTTTTCCCCTCCCTCCCCGCCCCCTCTTCCCTCATGAACCCTTGATAATTTATAAGTTATTATTTTGTCATATCTTGCCCTGTCCGACGTCTCCCTTCATCCACTTTTCTGTTGTCCATCCCCCAGGGAGGAGGTTATATGTAGATCCTTGTAATCAGTTCCCCCTTTCCAATTCACCCTCCCTCCACTGGTACCGCCACTCACACCACTGGTCCTGAAGGGATCATCTGCCCTGGATTCCCTGTGCTTCCAGTTCCTATCTGTACCAGTGCACATCCTCTGGTCTAGCCAGATTTGTAAGGCAGGATTGGGATCATGATAGTGGGGGAGGAGGAAGCATTTAGGAACTAGAGGAAATTTGTATTTTTCATCGTTGCTACATCGCACCCAACTGGCTTGTCTCCTCCCCGAGACCCTTCTGTAAGGGGGTGTCCAGTGGCCAGAATAACTTCTTAATAACATATTCTGACTACTAACTCAGTCAGGCTATTCTATTTTACAGAATTTGTGGGGGACGGGGGAGCAGGGGGAAAGACCTCTCAGAACTGGAGAAAGAGATGTCCACTACCGACTGAGACGCTATAAATTCAAGAGGAATGGTTTTGCATTCATCGTCAAGAAGGACATTTCAAGATCTCCCTTGAAGTATAATGCTGCCCGTGATAGGATAATATCTATCCACATATACGGAAACTCAGTCAATATAACTAATATTCAAATTCTATGCACCAACTACTAAAGCTACTAATGAAGACATTTATCAATGTCTTTGGTCTGAAACGGATCAAACATGCAACCAAGATGCATTGATCACTATTGGCAATTGTAATGCAAAAGTTGAGAACAAAGAGAAAGAAACAGTAGTTGAAAAAGACGGCCTTGGAGATAGAAACAGAGCTGAAGATCACATGATAGGGGTTTCCAAGACCAGTAGGTTCTTCATTGCAAATACCTTTACTCAACAACACAGTGACTATACATGTGGACTTCTCCAGATGGAATACACACAAAAATCAAACTGAATATATCAATGGGAAGAGACAACGGAGAAGCTCAATATTAACAACTAGAACAAAGCCAGTGGCTGACTGTGGAACAGACTATCAACTGCTCATATGTAAGTTCAGACTGAAGTTGAAGAAAATGAAAACAAGTCCATGAGAGCCAACATATGGCTTTGAGTCTATCCCATCTGAATTCCGAGAAATCTCAAGAACAGGTTTCACACACTGAACACTAATGAGAGGAGACCCGAAGAGCTGCTGGCTGACATCAAGGACATCACACATGAAGAAAGCAAAAGGTCATTAAAAAGACCGGACAGAAAGAAAAGGTCAAAGTGAGTGTCAGAAGAGACTCTGAAACTTTCTCTTAATCATGAAGGAATTAAATGCAAATGGAAGAAATGATGAAGTGAAACAGACAGACAAGAAATTTCAAAGGGCTGCTCAAGAAGACAAAGTAAAGTATTACAATGAAATGTGCAGAGATCTGGAGTTAGTAAACCAAAAGGGAAGAACACGTTCAGTATATCTTACGCAGAAAGAACTAAATAAAAAATTTAAGCCTTGAGTTCCAATATTGAAAGATTCTCCGAGCAAGATATTGAAAAGTGCAGGAAGCACCACAAGCAGATGGGAAGAATACACAGAGACACTGTGGCAAAAAGATCTAGTCTACCTTCAACCATTTCAAGAAGGAGCTTATGGTCAGGCACCAATGATACTGAAGGAAGATGTCCAAACTGCACTGAAAGCATTCGCCCAAAACATGGCTCTAGGAATTGATGGAATGCCGAATGAAATGTTTCAACAAGCTAATGAAACACTGGAAGCACTTATCTGTCTATGCTAAGAAATTTGGAAGACATCTACCTGGAAAATTGACTAGAAGAGATCCATATTTGTATCCATCCAAAGAAAGGTGTCACAGTAGAATTAGAAAATTATAGAATAACATTGATATCACATGTAAGTAAAATGTTGCAGTAAATCACTTAACAACAGTTGCAGTAGTATATTGACAGGAAATTGCAAAAGGTTCAGGCCAGATTCAGAGGAGGACATGGAACAAGGGAATAAGGGACCTCAGCTGGATCTTGGCTCAACACAGAGAACACCACAAAGATGTTTACTTGTGTTTTATCGACTATGCAAAGTATTCAACTGTGTGAAAAATAAACTATAGATAAGCTTGGGATGAATGGGAATTCTAAAACACTTCACTGTGGTCATGCGGAGCTTGTGCATGGATCAAGAGGCAATTGTGTGAAAAAAACAAGAAAATACTTCATAGTTTAAAATCAAGAAAGGTGTGCATCAGAGTTGTATCTTCTCACCGTACTTATTCATCGTGCATACTGAGCAAATATTCAGGAAGTTGGATTATATGAAGAAGAATGTGGCAGCAGAATTGGGGAAAGGCTTACTAAAGCCTGCTATAAGCAGATGACACAATCTTGCTTGATGAAAGTGAGCAGAATTTGAAGCACTTGCTGACGAAGAGCAAGGATTGCAGCCTTCAGTATGGATGACAACTCAATGTAAAGAAGACCAAAATCCTCACAACTGGACCAAATAGGTCACATCGTGATAGATTGAAGCTGTCAAGTACTTTGTTTTGCTTTTATCCACAATCAAGGCTCATGGGAGTAGCAGTCAAGAGATCACACAATGTATTGCACTGAGTAAATCTGCTGCACAAGACCTCTTCAAAGTGTTGAAGAGCAAGGATGTTACATTAAGGACTAAAGTGTGCCTGATCCAAGCCATAGTAGTTTCTTTCTTTCTTCTTTTTTTTGCAAGGATAAGCAGAAGTTTTTTAAGCAGAGATATACCTCAAGAGAGTGAAGGGGGTCTCTGGAGATTTGAGGAAGATGATGGTCTAAGGGTATGACATCAAGTTTTATAAGGATTGGGTGGTGGGACCTTATTGACTAGTTTAGTCCCAAACTGATTCCTTTCATTGATCTTCTTAACCTTGGTGTTCTGTTTCATGTTTGATGATTAGTCCTTTGAAAAAATGCCTGGACTCATGATTGATTAACTAACATTCTTTTTTTTTTTAACTAACATTCTTTTTTAACAATTTTATTGGCATATGATTCATACATCATACAATTAAATAGTTCAGTCATATCAAAAAGAGTTGTACAATCATCACCATAATCAATTTTAGAACACATCCTTTTTTATACTAATTGTTATTAGTTCCCCCATCTTCCCCCAACCTTTCCTGCCATATCCCCAAGAAACCATTAATCCAGTTACTATCTTCTACAGATTTATCTATTTGGAATTTCACATATAGAAAAAAAATTTAAGCCAGGGCATGTGAAAGTTGGACATTGAGTAGGAAGACTGAAGAAGGGTTGATGCATTTTCATTGCGGTGTTAGTGAAGAATACTGAAAGTACCATGGCTGCCAAACGAAACAACAAATCTGTTTTGGGAGAAGTAAAACCAGAATGCTCCTTAGCAGCAAGGGTGAAGAGAATTTGTCTCATCACGTACTTTGAATGTTATCAGGAGAGACCAGCCCTGGAGAAGTACACCAATCTAAGTGAAGTAGAGGGCAGTGAAGAAGAGGAAGAACCTCAACAAGATGTACTGACATCGCAGCTGCAGCTATGGCTCCAACATAACAACTGTGAGGACGGCGCAGGA